CCTGCCTGGCACCTCCATCTTCAACATTCTTTGTCCAATATATCCACTATTCCTCTTCTGTAAATGTCCAAGCTTGTTATCCTTGCCTCTCAAACCTTTGGCTCCCAAGACACTCAACCTGAGCTCTGATGTACACATTTCTAATCTTGTCAATTCTGGACACTTCCAACATCAATCTAAAATTCTTCAGCTCTCTCAAAACTACTTCCTTCTTTCTAGGCTGGACTGTTGAAATTCCTCGTTTTGCAACCTTGCAGCGTGAGTACTGCGAGATCATGTTTCTCCCCCATTAGCTTCTCTTCAGTGGATCCCTGTGAATTCCTGAATTTATCCCACATTTATTCTCAAAAGACCTCATTGTACTATATAATCCCCACGGAGCACTGCTGTTTGTGCTCCCTCTGTGCCCCTCTTTTCTCTTTCTCCTCACTGGTCACAGCACATGGCTGCCCATCCCGGAGCTGTTTCTGCTGCATAGTGCAGGCTTAACTAAAGAGACTTGCTTACATGCCTCTGAACATATCCAGTGAAATGAACAAGTGGGGCACTCTTTGCCAGCATTGGTAGTCTTCCTTCCATGTGGTGGGATGTGTCTTTTGTTGAGTGTTTCTATGTGACTGGGTAGTAAATTGGTCCGTTTGTTCAGTCTAGGCTTCTCTAATCCTGTCCTTGGCTTTCTGTTTACTTTCCCATAGTGAGGGTCTGACTGATTGGGCTCATTCTGCTAAACAGACCAGAAATGTTTTGAAAAACTCCACTTTGGTTAAATACAGTAACAGTATAAAGCCAAGACCTCTGACTTTGTGATGAAGTGTCTTAGCCCTGACCAAAGAATCAGTTTGAGTGCTGGTTATTCTAATAATCTAATGATATAAAATGGACAAACTGTTATCAAACAGCTTGTGCAGAGGTTGTTTTAAGCTGCATTTCTTGAGAAGGAGAGCAAAGTTAGAGGCAGATGTTAGGATGTCTTGTTATCAAATTCTGAATGACTTTGCAGAAAGTTTTTTTTTATTTTTTATTTTTTTATCTTCCTGGTTAAGAACAGGCTAAATGTCTGTATTAATACCAAAGACCTGGGAGGTCCTGGATTCATTCAGTTGAGGAAAAACAAATGGTGCTGTACAGTCTGGTATTTGTGCTCCACAAGGCTCCAACCCTTTATTGAACCTTACCAAAACAGTGAGAATAACTCCAAAATACAGAACAGAGTTAAATGCGTTTCTTTGCTTACTGACTTTCTTTCTGATTGGAACATAATTACACAAGACAAAAATTAAACACGCAACACTGCGGAGATTTTAAAATTGTTTCACTGGAAATACAACAGGGACCGCCCTGCAAATGAATGCATATGAATAGCCTCACATTGTCACAGACCACCTCCACAGGTA